CACCTTGTTGTCTCGGATTCTCCAGCATCTGCAGTTCCTACTATCTCAGATTTTTAATCAGTCTGTCTGTCTCTTGACATTTCTTTGTTAACTTTATTTCACCTAATTGGAACTCAATGCATCATTTTGATTTCTACTTTCCTCTCACCTTTTCGAAATCAATCTTTTTTAGTTCTATCGCAAGTTCAGTTATAGCTAGTTGTATTTTATTAATAGAACTGTTCCTTTCTTCGTTGAGTCCCTGGTGCTGAATAACTTCTTCAAGGATTCCATTTGCTTTAGCTCCTAATTTTGTTAAGCCCCATATGCTTTGCTACAGCCTGTAAATCATTCCTGTTTTTTGGCAATTCTTTCAAGTCACATCAGATCATTGCTTGCAATTAAATCTTAAACCTCTAAAGTACACATGTATACTTCCTAATCAGTCTCTACTGATTATGTACTGGACTTTAATTTTCTTATAGTGGGGGAACCACAAATTAAAACAATCAAGTTTCCTACAACTGAAGAAATTCCCAATATTTCACTTAATTTTAACATGAATCAGAACCAGTGCAATTTAAACAGAAGTTAAGAAGCAAATGATACTTGAAATGTAAAGGTAAATCTCGCTTTATGTAGGCATTGCCACAATAACACACAAGACTCTCCACAGACATGGGACACCATATGTGGGTCTGAAGTCCTCTAATCCAGCTCAGCTACATAGACTCTGTCACTTTCAAATCATTTGATTCAGCCATCAAATTACATTCACTGATAGTTGTATCTGAAGGCCCTGAAGATAGCATCTTTTGATAAAAACAGTCCAACAGAACCTCCTTTTCAATATTTATGACACTCTTGATGGCATAGTTTTGTTAGAGATTCCTTTATTCAGAGCCTTTAACAAAGCTACCTTAAACAGGCCAATTGTCTCTAATGAAACCAAATAGCAATGGTAAAAATGTCAAACTCATAATCTCTGCTTAAACACTATATTCAGCTTCCTGTCCTATCTAACTCTATTTATGCCCTCATGGGATGTGGGCATCGCTGATTGGTCTGTATTTATTGCCCATCTATGACACACACGCAGCTCCTTGGAAATGTTCCTTTTCTGCTCTCCGTTCTGCTACAGCTCTCTGTTCTTCTTCCTATCTGATGACATGACTTTCAAATGTTAACTTCCTTCCCTGTTGGTGCTGCCTCCACATGGAGTCACATGAACTAATTCTTTTTATTAAGGAGAATTAGAATTTACTCCTTTACAATTGATGAACTCTTTCAAGTTCTTTTAAAACATTTTTGAAACCAATTTCAGATTCCACGGATATTTTAAAAATATAAGAACTTTCCTTACTCTGCTGCTTCTTCAAACGTTGCTACAATTTGTCCAAATATACTTATAATAACTTTTCACTCGTCAGTGATACTGGTGGAAGGGGTCCTCTCAGAATTCCATATTACACTCATCACTAATGTAGCATATGTTTTTTTTTCTGTGTTGCTTGCTTCTGGTGAACTACTCTAAGAAAACAGGTTTTAGTTTTAGCATAAGTAGAAATCAGGATTAACTCTGCATTATGATTACAATGTTCTAACAGTTAACAGACAAGGATATTTATCTCATTGTGGACAAAATCCCTTGAACCACATGTTAAAAGAAAATCTTTATAAAACATAAATGCTATTTATTTTACAGATCTTTGACTTTTCCACATCAGATTTGCATAACGGGTACAGACTCCATTCTGCCTGCATTCTAGCAGCATATGTTTGCATCTAATCAATGGCGTCATTCCTCATTATCTTTATAAGCTGTTGCATCACTACAAATGCTTCTCTTCCCTCCCCAAATCTCCACTTCTTTGACTTTGATTTCAGGTACATTGTCTCTCTATTCACTCCACAAGTGATAGCCATACCCATAG